ACTTGTGGGACTAAATCCTGGTGTTTGTATTATGAGACAGGAACTTCTAACCAGATGACATCTTCACCAACAATAAATCCTGGTGTTTGTATTATGAGACAGGAACTTCTAACCAGATGACATCTTCACCAACAAACTTCTTCCACTTTTGGCAACCATAGAAATGTAAGCCCCAACAAAAACAAAGAAAATACCAACAGGTCAGAGGAAAAGTGGAAAGAGAGAAATTTTGGTGGCCCCTACGATTTTTATTTTGTAACAAGGGATGAAAGAGAAAGAAGAAAAGGAAGAAGTTATTACTTTTCCAAACATATCGAAAGTTCGAAAGTTGCGATCGTTTCTAAGAGATGCAAGGAATCTCAGATCAAAAATTAACTCTAAAGGAGAGTTACCACATGTTGCCAGCCCCCTTCTAAAAGGAGGAAAAAATACAAAAAACATACATAAACAATCACTTTACAATCAGCAAAAGCAACAAACACAAGCAAACTCAAACACATATTGTTCTTAAAAGCATAATCTAAATCACCTAGAAAACTTATATGCATATGTAGTAGTATTTTTTATTTTTATTTTTTGAAAGGTTAAAAGAAAATAATGTTTTTAAAAAGACTACCACATATGGACATATGTTGTAGTATTGCTGACAAGCATTCCTTAAATTTAAAGGCCCGTCTCAACAACAGGTCAGAAATCAAAGTTAGCACACTGCTTCAAGATTCTGATTCACATGACAAACAACATAATGTAATATTTTTGAAGAAAAAATGTAAAAACAAGTGTATGTCAATTCTTCAAAAAGAATTCAAAAACTTGTGTGTCAGTTCTTTAAGGAAAACTCAAAAGCCGCATGGGTAGATGAATATGTAGCATTAATGATAATACGCTAATAACAATAATAGTAATAACCCTAACATCCCTACAAGATAAACAACTGTGTATTGTGAACAGATTATGATATTTAGACATGGATAAACAAATGAAAATTATAATAGTGAAATGCAAAAAAAATGGAGCAGCAAATAGAAACATGTCACTTTAAATTAAGATATAATGCGCAACTCTTGTATACAGTTTAAATTTCCCAAGGAAAAGTTTTTGACTGAAAGGGCTACCCCACAAGGTAGAGGTAAGGTCTGCGTATATCCTACTCTCCCAAGACCCCAATTGTGGGATTAGTGACTACACTGGGTATCTTGTTGAATAGCATATAGTGGAGGGAGCAAAATGCAAAGATCAGATGGAAGTACCTTCAAGTGCTGGAGTTGGGAATTGTAAACTCTCTTTGCATATTCAGATAAGAGCTGACCGAGTGCATCAGTGCTAGGGGGCATTGCAGCACCTAGTCCAGCCATCCAGCCATCCATTATTGCAGTAGACAGAAGCTCAAGCTGACCTGTTGCTCCACCAACTGTGTCATCAGTGACAGACAGAAAGTCGAAGTTCTCTGCAAGCCAATTCCTGATTTGACGTTGAAGCTCGCCAGCCGGAGTATGTACAAAAAGAGCAGCAAGACCTCTGTTTCCAACCGCAAAACTTTTAGCTTCCTCAGTTATCTCCCTAAGTTTTCCACCAGTTACTTGTTGCCTCTGTATGTCCTATATGATTAAATTCCAAGTCACATAAGCCACTACCAATTGAATCTCAAATACATAAAACATGCACGGATAAAAAGTTAACAGACAAAAGAGGGAAAAATAATAAATAAGTAAATAATAACACAACTCTGAGAAAAAGCTCAAGATGAAGTGTATATTTTTGTTTTACTTTTGGTGTAAAGAAGTCTTTGTACAGGATGTGGAGTCTCTAGTTGTTTCACTGGGTCTTTGTAACTGTCACGAAATTTGTAACCGCATTCAACAAAACATACTTATTTCCTTCAACAGACCAAATACAAAGTGATAAGAATCAGGTTACTTCAAAATAATGCAGTAGAAAAATTATAAAGATTAAAGAAAGAAATTGAAAGATATGTGAAACTCAAAAATAAAATTTCCAAATAAAGTGCCAAGAACCCTATTTGATCTTAATATTTAAAATTAGCAGATTACATCTAATGATGATACTAAAGAGTTGATTCAAGAATATAAGGTTCTTAGCAAATCTTTTAGATTTAGAGATTTTCTTCTCAGATTTTACATATCTTTCAATTCTTGCCTTTAATCTTTATAATTTCGCTTCCGCATTATTTTCTAGTTTATTCTGGTAACCCGATTCTTATCAAGAAACTAACTAGAGAACCTAACAATTGCCAAAAAAAGATGCAGATGGGGATAAGGGACAGTTAAGTTGCTTGTAACACATATAACTCACCTGATCAATACCACGGATCTTCAGAACGACAGATGATAATTTGGATTTCTTTTCTGGCTTTAAATTTACTTTGAACCCTTGAATATGTTCATCAACCAGTGCATTCCTACTTGAATCGTAGTGCATAGGCGATCTTCCAGGGCTACTACCACGGCTAGAGCTTCTGCTCTGGCCACTATAACTAGCTTTCTCCAGGAAGCGCTCAACAGGAGAAACCTAGATATTCAACAATCAGTTGCTTTTGTCAATCAAATAAAGGGAGTACAAAAATCCACTGAAATGATCTCTGGAAGAACAGCCAAGAATCTGTTACCTTTATAGATTGCAACTCGGGCGACCTAGCAAGCAAGGATCTTATGTACAAAATCCTAACACGGGAAACAAGCATGGTATCCATCACTCTCTTTGGCTCCATTTTACGAATGAAAGCAAAGACGGCATCTCGAATTTCAGCAAGTATTTCATGCTCCCTAGAAGCACCTGCTTTGATGACTGCTGCTAAAACCTGATATATATACCAGACGTTGTAGTTATTGTAGTTATAGAAGGGTAGGGTACATCCGTAGGTTTCATGAAAGTTGTCCTAATTCATACTCCAGAGAGCATATTCTGAACCGACTAAAAGAACCTAATGCATACTCCAGAGCAAAAGGGGATAAGATTTTACCAGCATCAAGAGCTTGTTTGCTCCATCAGAGATTGCAGCAAGGCTATCATACTGATCAGGATCAAATTCATTCAGTGCGGAAGTAAGATATTCACCAGCTGGGGTAGTCTTGACCTTTTCAGCAGCAGATTTAACCAAAGCAACTGTGCCATCTGGCTTATCAGTTGATGAGGGCAGTGCTAGCACATCCATAGCACGTCCTTTGACATTGATGTCATTTCTGTCACCCACAATGCAAGATGCAGTTAATAACCATGAAAGTACAGAAAAGACAATAAGGAAACCAGAAAATGCATAATCTATTAATAGTATACACCTTCCAGTTTCTCTATTCTGAGCAGTTGGAGCCTTTGGTAACGGACTAGACACCTGTGCAAGAAGAGCACAAATGAGATTTACTGCTAGCAGCTTTAAGATGAGACTTAAATACTCTTTCAGCAAGAGCGAAATGCTTGAGCCATACAATCTATCAGTTTAAGCAAATAATTAAGTAAATATAAGTTCGCTATCTCCAACAACTTAATTTCTAGATGAGATGGACACACACTTCACTAGTTAGGAACAAATGAACTAACGAATGAAAACCCAGCAAATCTGAGCAAAATATTTGGGACACGATTATTACCTGTGTTGATCCAGCTAGAGAGGCTTTCTCTGTCAAACGATCAAATAACTTCTCATTTTCTTCATGCAATTTCTGTCAAAAAAGATAAAAACACATTAATGACTCAAATGAATAGCAAGATATATCTAACCAGGAAAAAAGCTCAAAAGAGTCAGATTTCCATTTCCTGAGGATACTATAATTGAACATATAGATAAAGCTTAATCATCCTCATTGGCATTCCTCTTTATTCAAATTAAACTAAAGAATACAACAGTGTGTATTACATATACACAGACAGCATGAATAAGCTACCTCAATAAGTGTGTCACGTTTTAAAAGTTCCTCTTCAAGCCTCTTGGTAACAGCTGCTGACTCAATGTCATTCCTCGTTGCCTTCAAACCTGTTTGGTCTGCAGATATTAACTCCGACCCATCTTTTAACCTAGCCTCACTAGCACGTACCACATTATTTAACTGTGATTCAAGAGCTTGCAGTTTGGCCTACAATATAATTTGATCAGAAACTTCAAGCAGAACCATGTGCAAAAGGAAAATGCATTTCTTCTACAACAAAATAAAAGGTGAAATACAGTTCAAGTAAAAAAAAATACATAAATGAACAAAATGTAGATAATGTGAGAAATATAATGATGAAGCAAGCTTGCAGAAACTAAATAGTACAGTATAGAATATTGACAGAATAGTATCCACTACAAAATTGAAAACAGTGAGCCTTGAGGCAATGATATCCTCTTTCAAGTTTGAGTCACAGAAATAGCTTCTGTAGCATACAAGGATGAGCTGCACATAAGTAAATGATAAACTGCTTGACATGAAAGCATCAAGCATCTCGAACTGAGCCAACTTGAACAGCTAAAATGTTTGAGAAGTTCTGTCTTAAATAGTCTCGTTGTTGTCTACATAGATCATAAACCCCTTGCAATCTTTTTGATTAAGCTTGTAAGATCATAATCCCCAGCCTCTATGAAAATGTATAATAGTCTTAGAGCCCTTTTGGATTGACTTAAAAAAAGTAACTTTGTCAAAAATAAAAAGTCAAATTGAAATGACTTTGAAGTCAAAAAATAATAAGTAGGGGGGAGACCAACTTTTGGTTTCTGACTTATCATTTTTTACCTTGTCAAACACTTCGTAACTTATTTTAAATCATTTTTGACTTATTTTAAGTTATTTTTTATACATGTCAAACACTTCCAGAAGTCAAAAACTGACTTGAAAGTAGGTTTGACCAACTTTTAAGCCAATCCAAACAGGCTCTTAAGATATTTCCCTCCAGGGAAAAATGTATGATAGTCTTAAGATATTTCCCTCAGGGCAAAATGTTTGATAGTCTTGACATCATAAACCCCTTGTTGGCTGGCGTAATATCAAGTTGAAAGTTTTTTTGTTTTGGTGAGATACATCAGGCCTCGACTTTAGGGAAACGCTTTGGGGCGATGCGTGAAGTCCCAGGTATCAAGTGGGGTGAGACCCCAAGTATCAAATATTAAACTGATAAGAACAGATTAGTACTTGATCAAATGTTAAACTGATAAGAACAGTTCAGTACTTGATCTAGCCAAAAGACTGAGAAAGGTAATAGCAACAATTTCAAATTACCAGCAGTATGCAACAATGAATGGAATAATGGAGCAAGATAACATCTTTTAAAGGTAGACTAACTTGATTAAGTTATACCAGATATGCGCTTGGAGAGAAAAAAGTCATTGGTATAAAAGCAACTAACCTGTAACATCTGAATAGTTGAATCACGCTGTTGTATCTGCAATTTTTGTTCTTGCTCCAACTGTAAAAGTTGAGCTACTTGGTTTCTAAGTTGAGTATTTTGATCCTTCTCAATCTTAAATTTATCCATAATCATGATATTCTCAGCCTACATCAGAGAGAAAACACTGGATCTTCTTAGTAACATGATTCCCGACTAGGCATAAGGTTTGAGTTTATCAGTTTGGACAGAGGAAAGAAAATTGGCATAGGCCTCATTATTTACATTAAGATTAAGACATGATGTGCATTACGATTTACATATTTTTTTAATAGAAAAGATATGCATTAAGATTTACATGTCTGATTCTGAATACACACCTGAATATTAAGATCTAAATACTAAATAATTAAGATTGTTTGTTTCTACAACCTCTGGATATATAAAATCATCTTTATTTATTTTTTAAGAGAAAAAAAGATTTAAATCATCTTTATTTAAAAATTGACAAAATATAAAATTCAATAAAATATCAAATTAATCTAAAGACTATATCAACAAAATATTTATAAAAAAAAAAACTATATGGCTGTTGGTGGTGGTGAAGGCAAGTGGTAGTGATTGTTGGTGCCAATTGGGGATAATGTTGGCTAATGGTGGTGTTAAGGTAGTAGCTAGTGGTTGATGGTGGTAGTTGATGGTGGATGATAGTGATAGCTAATGTGGTGGTGAATGATGATGTGGTTGACTATATCTAATGATGACTAGTGGTGGTGATTATCGATAGTGATTGGCAGTTGTTGTGATAATAAGGATTGGTGTTGATGATTATAAAAAGTGTCTAGTAGTGGTGACATTTGTTGTAGTGATCGGTTGAGGATGCTGATTATGGGTGGGTGTAGTTGAAAATGATGAACGTTGGCAGTGGTAGTTGATAATGGTGGGCGATGGCGGCAGCACTGAATGGATGGAATTGTTGAATTGACATCTTTGTAGAATTCTTTAAATAAACCCTTCGGGGGTGGCCTAGTGGTTTGAGCTTGGGACTTCCATGTTGGAGGTCTCAAGTTCGAAACCCCTTGCCAGCGAAAGCAAAGGGTGTGCCTTCTGGGTCGAGCTCGTCGCACCAGGCTTGCCTAGTGCGGGTTATCTCTCCTATGTGGTTTGCGAGCTATTGCATAGGAGTGGGGGTTTTACCCTGTGCGCACCCAAAGGGTAGCGGCTGCGGGTTTCCTTTGTCGTCAAAAAAAAAATCTTTAAATAAACATCTTAATTATATTAAAACTTAACTACAGATCTTAATTATTCAGACTCATTAAGTGGTTATAACATAAAAATAAGGCCGAATGACCTGAGAGACTCGTGTACTTGACTCCATTTGTCAGTTGAACCCTTGTACTCATCTCTTATCAACTGAACCCTTAAATCTATTAAAACAAAATATTTTAGACCCGTTCTCTGACTTGGCATCCTATATGACATAAGCAGTCAAGGTGTGTGTGGTACACTCATTTTAGGAGCGTGATGACCTTCTAAAAAGGTAACAATATTCTCTTTTGACAATCATAACACCCAGCTACTTCCCCAAGTATTTCAACAGCATTGTTGCTCAAAACTTGAGCTTCCTCTTGCCTCTCATTCAACTTTTCCTCTCCAAATTTCTTAATTTTTTTTGTTTCTATTGTTACTCCTGTTCTTCATACTCATGCAAATACAATCAAAAAAAAATTTGTCATTTAAATTTCTTCTTCACCGTGATTCTTCGTTTTTAAAGTGACACAATTTTTGAATAAATTTTCTTACCATGCTGTCAAAGTGATAAGAATAATTTGATATTAGTGATTCGCCTGATATATTATTCCTCTGCACATATCAATACACAATACAACAAAATCATCGCTTTCTAGAGTAAAAGTTTCAAGATGTTGCTTTCTTGTTAGCCTAATTTACGTTTAATGAGTATCTGTAGTTGTATAATGCATTCAATGAAATAATTCTATTTTCAATTATATTATAGGGTTTTCAGAAATCTCAACTTCTGAGCAAGAACAATACCCCCAAAAAATTACACCACAACTAAATTTTAAACCCTAAAATATAACAAGAATCAAAATTACAGACCAAAAATGAGTGAAAAACAAATAAATATGAGAATGAGTTAACAAACTTACAAAGATTAATAGAAAATTGAACTCAAACGCCTTCAAAAATCAAAAATGTTATTGGGGTGAGGTTGGTAGAAATCAGAGTTGAGAAAGTATAGAGGTTTGGATGAATAAAGGGTAAATGAAAGGTTTAAAATAATTTTAAACTTGAATTTTAGTATGTAATTTCCTATGTGGCAGTTTTAAATGACGTGGAAATCTATGTGTAGGCGATTGTATTACACTCACCTCAGAGAAGTCAAAAAAGGGTTTAAAATATTGTTTTAATGCGTTAAGGGTTAAGTTGACAAGAGATGAGAAGGAGGGTCCAACTGACAAACGATGTCAAGTATAAGGGTCTCCCAGGTCATTCCGCCTAAAATAAACACACTTGATCATAAAGATCTGAACGATTAACATTCAGACCTAAAGAATCTGAGTAAGAAACATGTAATAGAAGTAATATCAGCAGAACAAGTTACAAGTTTTAAACTATGGAGCAGTCCAACCATACAATAAATAACAAGGACCAAGGAATTATCACAATGATCCTTCCACTTGGACACAACATGAATGAGATAAACGAGAAAACAAAAGCACCACATGTATTAGAGAAAGAGAGAGTAACATAAACAAAAACATGCACTATAAATTGCTGGAAATAGCATCTGGCAGACTAAAAGGTAAGTCTCTGATAGTATTCATAAGACCCAAAAGCCCCCTATGTAAGCATATATGCTTCAATACATCTAAGAACAATTAACCATAGACTTTCTCTTGAAGTACACTTTTGCAGATTTCATACAACAAAATATAGCATCACAATCTCTTAAAAGATGCATGCAACCAACTAGTGGCAATTTCAATTTTAGTAGCAGAAATAAGAATTTTCCTCTTTAATCTAACAAGAACCTTCGCCTTTCACACAACAAATATAGCACCACAATCTCTTAAGAGACACATGCAACCAATTAGTGAAGAGTTCAATTTTAGTAGCAGAAATAAGGTCTTTCCTCTATTATTACTCTTAGAACCGCCTGCTCTAACTCAACAATAGCATCACAACCTCTTAAGAGACACATGCAACCAACTAGTGAAAAGCTTGATTTAAGTAGCAGAAGTAAGATTTTTTTCTCGTTTATTACTCTAACAAGAACCACTTTGAAGTTGCAAAAGTTATTGAGAAAACAAATATACAGGAAGTTTAGGTTGATGAAACCATGAGAAAGAAACAGGCAACAAAAAGAAAAAGTTACAAACCTTAAGATCTGACTCTAGTGTAGAAGAAACTTTCTGGGCATTCTGAACTTCATTGAAGAGTAGAACTCCCTGATCGTTGGCCTGTTTCAGTTCCTGTTTTAGCCCAACTATTTCTTGTTTCAGATCAGTAATCTCATTCTCCTTGTCATAAAGTTCCTTGCGTGTATCATTGGCCTATCAAAATAGAAAGAGTAGAACAATTCATTTCCATATGTACTACCAACCCACAGATCACTTGGAATTAGCAGGTGAATCAAACTTCAACTTCTCAATGTCACTGAGTAATATACATCTACATCACTGAGTAAAAAGCATTGCCCTAACCCCAAATAAGAAAAACCAAATTAATAAACAAGGATGTGGACAATCTGCTATAGTCCTCTTTGAGTATCCACAATTAACAAACCAAGACTTACAATATCTCTCCATTTCTTGATTGTATCTCTATTCCCAAGGCTTAGTGTGGCATTTCTAGCTCTAGCAGAAAAATTGAGGGAAGATAACGTCTCAGACAAATTTGAAGCATTCGGACAGACATTAACAATCAGAAGCGTCTTTGCACTTTCACCTGCAAAAAGAAGAGGAAAAAAAATATTAGAGGTACCTAGCCAGCAAATAGACTTTACAAGGGACAACAGAATAACAGAAATTAGAAACATGTAAGAGGTGTTGTAGCAACCTATTACACAAGATACTGTAAGGCAAAAGATAACAACCCTTTCCCTCCAGATGCAATCAAAAACATAAATGTTAAGAGATTTATTTAGTTTTGACTTTCATTATCAACTAAGCTGCTCAATATGCAGCTTCAAATTGTAAGCATCACCAGTGTTGAATTTGACCATCTCCTTTAAAAGCTTAAATTGTTAGAGATCGCACATTGTTATTTACTTAGTTATATCTTCAATCAACCCCTCACATGCAGGCTTGATTTTTTTTATTAGCCCAGCGCATGAAATATCTTTTTGATAAAGAGTAACAGTGAGAATTGAAGCAGGATCTCACCTGTTCTGACACCATGTTGAATGGTGTGACCATCCAATACAAAAGCTTAAGTTGTTAGAAAGAACACTTCTATTAACCTAATTATATCTTCACCAACTTGCACATTAAGTGAGTTCCAAATTTTGGCCTACCCAAGTCCAACTCTAAGAGAAACAATGTAGGGTTAAGTCAATGAGCAGAATCCAGATAGTGCATCCTTCAGAAAGCCTCCCCTTTTATTTGGACAAGCCATGTACGTATCCAGCCAATAGATTTTATGATTTTATGATAAAGTATAAGGTGGATCAATCCAAATATACATACATCTGTTATTATACTCTATACATCTACTTAGCAGTTAGGTGACAAAATTATTATGCCTCGGAAAACCAGAGGCAACGGTCTTGTTCTTTTGTGATGATGTATCATGATGGCATCAACAAGAAGATGCAGATAGTACTAAAGAGAGATTGTTAGCTCTATTAC